AAGGGCATCTCCCAGAGTGAGCCGGAGGTCAAGGTGGCCCCGAGCACAGAGGCCCCAGCTCAGCCCCCCATTTCTCCTCTTCCCTCAGCTGTTCACCTATCCCGGCCTGGAATACCATCGCTGTGCTGGTGATTCCATGCCTGACTGCGGACCGGGTGTCTGTTGTCCACCTGACATCACCGCTGGGCAGTTGAGTACACAGCCCCCCACCCCGCCCGAGCCTCGTCCTCGTCGTGCAAACGGGCCTCGCCTCCCCCCCTCCTGCCGACGCCGGCTCCATCCTCCCCGGCTCGGCTGGGACCCCACGGCTTCCTGGAAGCCCTCCTCCTCTGGTGCCCACGTCCAGGCCGTCAGGAGAGGCCGTGGGTCCTGCTCGCAGAGCACACTGAGAATCTGACCGTTTTCACCACGTCTGCTGGAACTCCGTCCCCTCCCACCTGGATGGCTGCGTCCACCTTCCAGCTGGTGGAGGGCTTTGCCCTTGACTCCCGCAGGGGTCCCCGGACCATGGACACCTCTTCTCAAAGGCGCCCGAGCCTCCGCCCCCCGCCCAGGCGAAGGCCCACAGCTGCTCCCCTCCCTGACCCCCGCACCCTGCGCGTCCTGCCCGAAGCTCCTCTCCCGGGATCCGCAAGGGCATCGCCTCACTTCTCCCAGGTCTTGGCTCTCTTCAAATTCCCCTCCTCAGTACAGCTCGTCTTACAGAGAACGGCACCAGCCTCCGCGGCTCTCTGCTCCTCTGACCCCCCTCCCTTGGCACTTCTCGGCTCTCCACGTACTGCACCATTTCCCTATTTTCTGTGTCCGAACATCTCCCAGCCTTAGGACACCAGCTCCCAAGAACGGGCTTTTGTTTGGTCCATAATGGATCCCAGGTGCCCGGCACCAGAAGGGGAGGCTCCAGCCACGGTGGAAGGAAGGGACAATTGTTCCTGGGGTCGCTGGGGAATCCACTTCCCAAGGCAGGGCACCAGAGCCTGGCAGAGGCAGGAGGACGGAGCTGTTTGAGGGGAGATGACTCTGAACGTGGGGAATATTTGGAGGGCGGCTGGGATGCACACAGCAGTTGGGGAGGGAAACGAGAGCTGGTCTCTGTAGGTTAATTGTCAGAGATGACGAGTTACAGGTGGAGAGCCTCAGGGATCCCTCTGAGGCTGGAATGGAACGTTTGTCTGCAAAAGGAGGTCTTGTGACAACAGTAAGACTAGAAAATTCGGGGAGGCCTGGGGCTGAGCTCTTGGCCCAGCGAGCGTCCAGACCCATAACCTGCCTGTGTCTGGAAGGCAGAACCATACGGTGGAGGGTCATGCCTCTGAGAAGAGGCGTTATCATCCCTATAACTTGTCCCACAATCCTGGCTACCGTCGGGGTGCGGGGCCATGTCCGTGCTTGTGGGACAGGCCCATCTTGGCTTGAGTCGTGGGCAGTGGTCAGTGAGCTTCCTTTGATCCGGCTGGACCTGTCGACCAAGAGTTCGAGTGTATCCGGGAACGAGGGCTGTGATATCTGTGCTTGGCTGGTGTGTCAGCAGGGGGGTTGGAAAGATCGTCCTTTGCTTGGGTGCCACGGTCTCTCCCCTTTAACAGCGCTGTACAGTTTTTTAATTTTTTAATTTTTATTTATTTATTTATTTGTCTGCATTGGGTCTTCTTGCTGCACGCGGGCTTTCTCTAGTTGCGGAGAGCGGGGGCTACTCTTCGTTGCTGTGCGTGGGCTTCTCATTGCAGTGGCTTCTCTTGTTGTGGAGCACGGGCTCTAGGCGCGCAGGCTTCAGTAGTTGTGGCACGTGGGCTCAGTAGTTGTGGCGCACGGGCTTAGGTGCTCCGTGGCACGTGGGATCTTCCCGGACCAGGGCTCGAACCCGTGTCCCCTGCATTTGCGGGCGGATTCTCAACCACTGCGCCACCAGGGAGGTCCCAACAGTGCCGTACAGTTTACGGCCGGTTTTTAAATGGATGCTCTTAGTTGAGCTTCAAAACCCAGCCCCGTAAATCATCATGCTCCTCGGATCGGTGGGGGTCGGGGGGGAGAAGCAGGACTCAAGCACTTGATCTGACCCTGGTCCGGCCTCCTCCTCCGGCCCATGCCTGGGATGATGACGCGGGTGTCCTTTCTGGATGTGTGGGAGGGAGTGGGAAACAGTTGGGGCCGAGTGGTGGGTCTCTGGACACCTCCTCTGCTCTGCATCACACACGCTGTCCCCATTTTTATCTCCAGACAACCCTTCGTGTGACTTTTCACAAACTCCTCAATCTGGAGCGTGAAGAGCATCTCCATGTGGGCGAAGGATACTGGGAGGAATTGGAGGGGCTTCCCAACTGGAAGCGGGGCTGGGCCGATAACTTCTCGTTTAGAAAATAAAAAACCTCCTGTGGTTATTTAAAGATACAGACTGTGGAACGTAAGGGCTGAACAAATCCTGGCCGGCTGGAGTCCACGAGAGGAGGCTATGAGATGTATGTGTTCATCAAAGGGCGTCATGGACTGAACAGACAAAAACGCTGGCCCCCCGCCCCGGGAGGCCTGGGCTCCAGCCGAGGGGCAGCAAAGGCACTGGCACGCGGCACGCTCCATCCTCACCTGTGCATCGGCGAACGGGGATGGTCATTCGCGTCTGTCAAGCTCAGGCTCACGGCGCACAAGCTGGGTGCCGAGGCGAATTGTAAACGGAAACTGTTGTACAAATGGAGGGTCTGCATGTGACTCCACGTGCCGTTCCTGGGGTCCTGCACCACCCCCAATTCCAACAGTCACTTTTCGGGGTAGAAATTTTATACTCTAGAATTTTTTCCTTTGTCTTTGTTTTTCTTTAAAAATAGCAGTAGTTTGAAAGAAAACGTCAGGCTGAGCGATGGCGTGGGCCTGGCCAACAGTGAGCACCCCAGGGGACCCTGGGACTGAGGTGGGTCCTCTGCACCCAGGGAGCTGCCTGCTGTCACCCTCCTGTGGGTCCCTGCATGGTTCCCCACAGGGACCCACCCTCCAGACGCAGGGTCATCCTGCCCTTCCCTGGTCTCCCCCGAGGGCCCCTCGGTCCGAGCACAGGCCCTGGCCGGTGGATACTTGTAGGTAGGGACGTGACAGCTCCTGGGATACAACTTGGGGTCCATCCAGCCACTTGGCGGGGGCAGTGCCAAGGGAGGGGAGGCATGGAGTCTGAGTGGGGAGCTTGGTTTCCTTGTGTTCCAATGATTCAGTGGCAGAGGTCAAGGGAGTGTACACACGTACACACACACACACACACACACACACACACACACACACGCACCCCACAAGACAAAGACGACCCTGGGGGATCACCGAGACAGAGGGGCAATCGAATCTATGCTACGGGGCGAGCAGGGAGGGGGCCATGTTGACAGGGGGGACACAGGGAAAGCAGAACAGCCTCCCCCCAACGTCCACCCGCTCGAAGGGGGCAGACAGGACTTCTGATCAGCGGAAGCAGGACATATAATAACATCAGTTCAACCGACTGGCAGCTGACTACAGGGTGGAGGGGGCGGGTAAGGACAAGGACGGGGGATGGTGGCGGTCGTGGGGTGTTTCTGACACCTTAGATCAGAACTCTGGAGCATCTGCTCCGTGCTGTTATTCAATGGTTCAGTGCATCAACATTTGTGCAAACATTACCAAGTCTCTTAACCAAGGAAAAATCCTGACAAAAAACTAAACCACACATTGTTAAAGACCAACCGCAAGAGGGCTTGCCTATAGATAACGAGAGAAGGTTGAACATGCCGGGGAGCAGAGGGATGTGTGCAGGGGCTAGAGGGACTGTCTAGGAGGGGCAGCTCCCGGGGGCAGGTGCAGGAGGTCTTGGAGCCGGGGGGTGGGTGGTGAGGGGAGAGCCAGACAGGGGCAAGGCTGGTCCTCTGGGGCAGGTTCACCTGGGGCCAGGTGCTCCCACAGCAAGTTGCAGGGGGGTGGCAGAGGAGCCCTCTCCAGAAAAGAGGGGTGCGGGCCGTTCTCCACCGCCTCTCAGTGGAGGGGCTGTTTTAGCGTGAGTACGATGGGCTGACAGTGCCGGCCAGGTGCGAGCCTTCACCCGTGGTCCTCGGGAGAGCTCATTTCCCGGATGCTGGGGGTGGGAAGGGGCTGCGCCAGCAGCTGCCCAGCGGTTGTAAACACCCTTCCATCGTCTCACTGTGGGATCCCAGGGCTGCATCCCCCTAGACAGTGTGTGTCATGCTAGGCCAATCGCAAAAGGGGAAGGAAAGGATGCAGCAATCAAAACTCAGAGGGAAGGGCGCCTCGTTCCAAACGTTAAAGAAAAAAGAATAAAACAATTTCGAAGTAAAGCAACGAGAAAGAAAACCCTTTCTACCAATTTAAACAAACAAACCAGAATAACTTAGTGGGAATAAGGAGTTGGGAGGAAGCGGCAAGGAGAGAGCAATGGGGTGAGTGCGGGGCAGGCGCGGCGTCACAGGGCGGGACGCCGGTACTTACGTTTACCTCGGTGATGGCTATATCAACAATGCTACCCACAACAATCAAGGCGTCAAATGTGTTCCATGCATCACAGAAATAGTGCTGCATGGGGCAGAGGGGCCAAGGGAGGGAGAGAGGAGAAAAAAACCAACAACAAAGAAAAACAAAACAAAAGGGAGAGGAAAATGAAAAAAAAAAAAGCATGAAAGAAAGGAGAGAAGAGGGAAAAAATGAGAAAAGAAAGAGGTTACGTGGGCATATACTGGACCCTCTTACCACTCCACAGTCCTGGAGGCGCACACCTGGCACCCGGTGCTCGCGGAGCCTGACAAAGGCCGGGTTAGTCGGGGCGGGGGGGCCGGGCGGGGGTCCTGGAGGCGGAGAAGCCCGGCCGCCCCTTGTCCGGCCCGGCAGAGTGGGGACAGCGCGGGGGCTCACGTCCCCCAGGACGGCGGCAGGTGCAAGAGAAAGCATGACTGGCGGGGGTAAAACAGGAAACCAAACAATAAACCGGAGGAGGTAAGGAGGGAGGGACACGGAGGCGTCCTGGGCAGAATCATACTCACATTCGTCTCACTGAGAATGACGTCAATTACGCTGCCAATTACGATGAGGCAGTCAAAGACATTCCAGGGGTCACTAAAGTAGCCCTACACGGGGCGGCAGGACGGGAGTGAAAAGGAAGGTCAGACAGACAAGAACAGAGCACCGCCGTCGGGCCGCACCGTCGCTGCCGAGTCCGAGCGGGGCGGGGTCCTCCCCCTCCAGGCCCAGCCCCCTCGCTGCCCATCCTACTTCCGCAGCCCCTCCCAGGCCTGCAGCACCTCCTAGGAGGCCTGTCTGCAGGGAGGCAGGGAGGGAACAGGGGCGGGGACCCTCGTGAGGTGGTCTGGGGATTAGCAAGCGGCCATCGGTGTGGTCCAGGCACAGCCAGGCCCTCTGGGCTCAGGGGTGAGCCGCGTGACGCTCGTGATAACGAGGGGACCATGGCATCAGAGCAGCATCTACAAGGTCACCCTCGCGGCAGCCCTGGACGGGCATCCAGCCCTGGACGGGCCCGGTGCCTCTGGACAGAGGCTTTCCTCCCTGAAAGGGGACGGAGGCCAGGTCAGTCCCAAGGTTTGGTAACGCGGGAGGCGACCCTAGACCGGCTCTCAGGGCAGGGGTGTCTCTGAAGCACCGCCGTGCTCAGCACCATCATTCTGACTCAGGATCCTGATGAAGCTCCCCCCGCGCGAGAACGAGGTTCTCACAGCCCTTCCTGCAGGCCGGGTGGGGGTCTGGGGGCTGTCGTGTCTAGGGGGAGCGATCAGGATGCTGACCCACTCCTTTGTCCCGCACACGTGGATTTTGTTTGTTTTACACCATATTTGGGGAAGGGAACGGATGAATGTTTTTCAAAGACTTTTTCAAAGTTCGTGGACAGCTGGTCAGCTAAGGGCTGTCCCCTTCCTGTGAGGGTTCTTGGAGTCCTGGGCAGGCAGGCTTTCTGCAAAGAGAGGGCAGGCTCCTGGGTCTGGACCACTGCCTCTCAGAGTACAGGGGAAAGGGAGCAATGCTCTGTGACACACGGATGTTCAGGAGCCCCGGGAACCACACAGCCGTCCTCCCCAGGGGTGGAGTGGGGAGGGCCCAGCACCGAGGGCATCTGTCTTTCCGTAAGAAAGGACATCTGCCCCTTTGGTTCTTCAAGGGATACCCCAGCTCTGAGCCACGAGGTGGGGTTTCCAGGAGATGCACTTCTGAGGTTGGTGAGGAGGTAAGAAAGCATCGGGCTGGCCTCTTAGAGTCTCCCCGGTCCCTCTCCCTGGCCCTCCTGGGGCGGCCAACTCTCGCTCTCTACTTCTGAGTCTCAGGAGTCTGTGCTCTCCCATTTCTCCCCAGCTCCCTCCAGCTCCGTGACCCCTCCACCTCCACCATTCCTAGCTGTGCCCCCTCTCAGATGGATCACAAGACATGCTGTCCCAGGGCTGTTATTCTTAGTGTGGAGGTCAGGTCACAGGGAAAGGGACCTCTCGGTTCCCTAGGCCTTTCTGCCAAAAAAAAAAAAAAAAAAGCAGAAATGCCACCGTGGAGACTCTGGACAGCCCGGCGGGGAGCAGAGGTCGGCCAGGGCGTGGGTGAGGTGAGGGTCACTTGAAACGCTTGCTGGCTTCCCAGAGTATTTTTCTGAATATCCTGGAGCCTTTGGGGGCACCGAGAGGCTTCTCGCTCCCATTCGAGTCACGTGCTGTGAGTGGGAAAGAACTGACCCCCTGCAGGGTCTTCCCATGGCATCACAGGGCACGTGGAGAGCACTGGTCTTGAGGGCAGAGCGAAGACCCCGTGCAAACGACAAATACGCATGTGCTTTAACATCAGGTTTTGGAAAACACTGGGGGACTCTCTCTAGAGAGGAAAAGCATCTTTGTGGGTAGAGCTGTTTTGGGAGGGCAGGGGAGGCGGTGTCCAGGAAGAGAAAGGAGGGAAGCAGGAGCCAGAGGAGAGTCCAGGACGCCCAGCATCCAGCCTAGAAAACGCAGTGGCAAGTCGTCATTCGGGTCTGGGGGCGAGAGGAGGAGAGAGGTGGGTGGGCGTCACGGCGCTCAAGGAGTGGGGAGGGGCTGGCGTCTGTCCGTTCACCAGAGGGACCTGGAACAGATGGGTGAGCTGGCCTCGGTCCACAGCGTGGCTGAGGGGAGATACAGAGGGGGAGAAGGCAGGCGGAGGCGAGGCAGACGAGAGGTTAACAGCTGGCGAGCGAGCTCTGGAAGGAGCCTGGCCCCAGGGACCCTGCCGCCCTCACCCACCGCATGCATCGCCTGTCAGCCCCACTCTTGCGCTCCTTCCCAGTGCTCTGCGGCCGGCGGCTTCCGCTGGGTTGCCTGGCCTCACCCGCCCCCTTGCGCTCCACAGGCTGTGCTGCTGGCGCGTTTGGTTGGCCCCTCTGTCCTGTGGGCCCGGGGCGAAGGCCTCCGCTGGCCGCAGAGCCCCACCAGTTCCCGCCCGGAGGAGGTTTACACACAGCCCACGGGGGTGGGGGGTGACAGGGTCCCTTTAAGAGGCAGCTTCCCCCTGCCCTGTCCACCCGCTTCCTGCCCTGTCAACCCTCCAAGCCGGACCATGAACACAGTTTCAGATCCAGCTGTCAGCGCCTCCTCCCAGCCGTCCACACCCATCCCAGAAACACGCTGACGCCCTCCAGGGGGCTCGACAGGTTGCCAAGGGACACACCTGGCCAATTCCCCAAGTGGGCAGGGCCTGGGAGGAAGGTTGCCCCCTGTTGTCAGTGCAAGAGCTGTGTCCTCTCTCTCCCCGTCACACACACGCGCACGCACACACACACACGCACACACACCTGTTGTCCATCTCCTCGACTGCTGGAAACCATGGGTGACATGGGTTTGGGGAGTATGATGGAGGAAATAGAATGGGGAAAAAATCATAGACTTGTTTTCTTGAAATCAGGCTGACCTCCAGGTCATACCTGTCACTCGTTCTTTCTCTGGTAGAAGTCAGGGTTAGCAAAAGGGGCTCTGGGCTCTCCCTGAAGTGGTGAACCAAACCTCTCAATGTCCAGATCCTCAGAGCCAGGCAGCGCTGCCCACGCAGGGGCGGACGGCATCTTGGGGGAAGACTTTCTCTCGCCATCTCTAACCCTGCAGGGTGAGTGGGTCCCCAGCCTCAGGAGGTCTCGTGCGTGTCCCCCTGGGCTGAAAGGCAAGTGCCCCGCTGGGAATAATCCCTTCTCCGGAGGGCGCCGACCCTCCGCTCACTGGCTGCCACGGCAGAAGAGACGTGGACCAAATCGATCCTAGGTTCAGCACAACGTGACTAGGAAAGGACGCTGCTGCCCCAGCACCCACGATGCATTTCACCTGCATGAGAATTTTGGATTTTCCTCTCTTGGATCATCTGTGCCCTGATTCACTCCACCCCTGGAGCTGTTCCGAGTTGGAAGAGGCGGTGTAGTGGTTAAGGGTGTGACCCGCAGAGGCAGGGTGTCTGGGTTCGAGTCCTCCCTCTGGCACTTACTGGCTGGGTGACCCTGAGCAGATAACCGCACCTCTCTGTGCCTGTTTCCCCCTATGACACGGCGACCTGTGGGTTATGGTAGGAATGACACAGTGAACTGCCTGCACCTGTAGGAAGCCCAGTGAGTTCCAGCGGCTGCCACAGCTGCTGGAGCTGGTCCGTCCCCTTCTAGGGAGGCCAGACGCACAGGGTCAGCCTTGGGGGTGGGACTGAGCAGTGCGGAAGGCAAGGCTCAGGAATGTGGAAGGAGGAGGGGGAACGTGAAGGCTCCAGAATCCCAACCTCCCTTCAGTGGGTCTCATCTTGAATCCTGGTGAGGACTGCCTGTCCTGAGATTCTCGGATGAAATCCGGCATCGCTTTGAGATTGGTGACCGTAAGTAAGCTGTCCTGGCTAGATTCCGTCAAACTCAGGTTCACACAGATAGTTAACTGCCAGGTTCCTAGAAACCACTATTCCTCTGGCTGGAGGGCTGCGGGGAGAGGAGTGGGCTGCCAGGTGGGCCCACATCCTGTCTCCGGTCCCCAGAGCAGGGCTGCTGCTGGGAGGTCCAGGCACACGCCCTGGGCCCCAAATTCTGGACTCTCAGCCCCTTCCCCGCCCAGAGCAGAGTCAACACAAGCTTTAAACCAGGATGGTGGTGAGAGGGGTCCACAGGAGTCTACACACCTGGGACCGTGCTGCCATTGCTGGCTTTCTTCTCTTCTCCATCCCCTCCTGCACGGCTTCCTTATCTACCTCTGACGGGTCCAGCAGAGAGAAGGCAAGGAACACAGAGGAGGTGACCGGACGCTCTT